ATAACAGACTGTTAATAAAAAGAAAGCTAGAAATAATTAAAAGTTAGCAGAAGAGGCAGACATAATATCAAGTAGCATATAAAATTTCACATTAAAACCATTATCAAATTAGTACCTAGAATGAAATCCAAGCATTTTTTTTAAAAGCAACTATTGCTGAAAAATAAGAAAATTCAGTAACGATCAGACAGTCAGGATAGGATTCAGTTTAATATTATACTTGATTGTGAGCTCTACAGGCTCTTTCATGTATTATACAAGCTTTGCTGACTGTAATAGGAGCGACCACATCTATATGGCACCGAAATTCTGCTATCAGTCCCAGATGTCCTCCTTTCTCTTCCATCATTCTCTAAGCAAAGACTGAACTCTGTATGTATCCAGCTTTGACCAAACCATGAACTTTAATCAGGATCATATCCACCGCTAGTTAATTGGTTTTGAGGACCTTTTCTGAATAAGATTGCCAGAGCTATTCAAATGGAGGAAGGAGGAGGGAAAACAAAAACATTTTAGAGGATTATCTACAGGACTGCCTGGGTATCTCCATTTTAGTTATTTAGGACTTCATAAATTGGTTAACTTTTGGGGTCTATATCAGTCCTCCTCTTACAAAGATTGACACTCTGAGGCCTTCAACTATTGGACCTCAACTGTTCTTGTTCTTGACATTCAGTTTGGGCTTCATTCAGACAAACTGAAGTCTAACAAGTTCACTCATCTAATGGACATTTAAAACACAAAGCACTCCATTACATACAAGTGTTACCGTGCTGAACTAGAAAGCATAGAGCACAACACTGTCAAAAGCAGCATTTTTCCATGTTGATATGCTCTTTAAAATTAAGGATGACATTCATCTCTGTGTGAGGGAACTTAATTTGTGCACTGGAGATTATGTGGCATACGAAAATCTAATGCTGTCTGGCATATTACAGATAAACTTCACCAAAAGAGGAGCATTTTTGGCAGCCCAGGAACACTCCCATCAGGCTGTCATCCAGTATCCATTCTTGGCAGAGGGTGGGGGGTTTCTACTGGGTTCCTTTAAATACTAAAAATTACTTATTATTTGCATTACATTCCTAGGCAGTTCCAAGAACCATCTTGCCTATCACCTTCCCTGTTCTTGGCATTGCCTTAAAAAAATACAAAGAAAGAAAAAAGAAGCATTTGCAGCACATTGCTAAAACGCTCAGACAATGGTGAACCTCAGGAACATCCCAATACTGTTTATCACTTTCTGCCTCTTCTCAGGTACTTGACACAAAAGAATTTACTGTCTTTGAAGTTCATGGGTGAAGATTTGGCCACTAATATAGCTAAACATGACACTACGGCAGCTTTAAAGAAAACACAAAACGTGTTCACCACATATCATACATTTATGTATGTTTGTGTGATTAACAGAAAAAAAATGGGACCACTGAGAATATGGGAAAGAAAAGGAATCTGGAAGACGTTACCCATCAGTGTATTCATATAGGAAAATATCTATTCATTAATCAGACAGAATATGACAATGTGACAGAATTCAGAAATTCAGAATTACAGATGAGTCTCAACTGCTTACGTGTAATCTCCAAGCACACAAGAGTGCAAAAGCAACTTTAAAAGTGTCTTTAATTAAATATTAAAACCCCCATCTGAATGCACTGGGATACTTAAGACAGGCATTTTAAGAGAAGAGGTATCTGTTTCAAAGAGTAAAGTCATATAGTCCAAGTGGCAAAATTCCAATGATATTACGATCTGCAAACCTTCCTCATCCACCTTTGGAGAAAAAAATAGTTTTGAAAGGTGAAAGCATACCGAATAGATTAAAAAACACCTCAACAACAACCCCAAACAATATGAACAACATTATAAGATCTCTATAATGAAGCAGAGAACATAACTATAGATAGTATAACAAACATAGACTTCATCACCAGCTCTTTTACCACAACATAGCAGAAAAGTTGGTCATCAAATTTGGTTTAATGAAAAAAGATGATTCCCAGGGTAAAAGAAAAAGATATTAACAACAAAATGAAAACACAGCTGCTCTTGAAAAATTAAAAAACCACAAAGGAAAAATCAGCTACAAAAGCCTGATAAGTGACTTCGTGGCAGCCTTTGGAGGTGGGGGAAGAAGAAAAAGGTGGAAACTGTTTGCAGTCATGGTCAACAAAAGTTCCAAGGTTATGCTTCTTTGATTTGCACTGGTTGAAATACTACAGAAATTAGATGAAAGGAGAAATAATGTTGAAATCTATAATCGTACATTGCAAAATTACTGATCAAAAGACAGCACTGAATAAAAATGATATAAGAATTAGTTTAGTTGGATAAAGTAAATGCTGAGTCTTCAGAGAGTCTGTTATTTCTCATAGTGCTAAAGCCACGGATCAGAATACTTCTAGGACTGAAACGGTCTCCCTGTCTCAAGTAAAACTCTTTTGATCAGGCAGTTTTTGATGGGACAAATTTTAAGGGGCTCTCATTGAACAGGTTTCCATTAATACACCTTCTTAGTAGAAAGAAATTAGTTTAGTTTATGCAAAAGTGGGTGAACTGGTGATCTATTCTGTGGCTTGGCGTATCTTATGTTTACAATAATGAAAAAGTTTCTTAGAATAGAGTCCTTCCCATTGTGCAGTTTTCTCACAAATCTTCCTCATTTTACTTCTCTTATGTCTAAGAGTTTGGAAGATCCTTCAAGTCTTACAGCTAAAGCCAAAATAATTTCCTAAGCAGACCTAAAGTACAGCATTCTATCTCAGGCCAGAAAAAGGAATCAGGAATAGCTTAATTATTTACTTGCCGTATATATGACTTCCCAGCAGTTAAGTCACAAGCTTCAAGAGGCTTACGCATTGTATTTTCTTTCTTTGAGGTGCAGCATTTTTTATTTATTCTTTTTTTTAATGGGAACATTTAGCTGCAGAAGAAAGCCAAGAGTGGACTTGCAGAGTCCTAGACCAAGGACAGGTTTCCTTATGCCCAGCTCGGGCCTCACACTGATATATCTCCAGCTTCTAGGTCCAGCAGGCTCTGCACTCAAATGCTCCGCAGCAGTAAGCATGCACCCACTCTCAAGACCCCCAGGATGGCCAGTCAGGAAGACCACTGCTCCCAGGTCTTCCAGGAACATGAGCACCGACCTGAAATATTCACTGTCGGCTCCCGCTGCTTGTGTCAACATCTGGCCATAAATTCAGCCCTACTCTATCTCAGACTGCTGTTATATCTGGCTATCATGAACAGCTCACAAATAGACTCTGGGCAGGACATGCAGTGGACTGCTTTTTGGATAAAACCCAAATTAAAGCCCCACCAAGAAGAATAAGCAGAGGAAAAGAACTTAGAGGCTGTGAGAGACGCTGATTGGTTTTGGCCCCACTTGAGAACGCTGAAGTTAGAAGGTGAGGAGGAAAGAATATAGTCACCGAGTCACTAAAAATTTAGAAACTGTGAAAGGAATTAGTCATTGCGTACCAAGAGCAACAACCCAGCTTCTCAACTCACTGGCAAATTAGCAGTGAGAGGTGTAAAAGAAGCAGAAAGAGGAAACGAGCAGGAGAGAAGAAAGGCTGGTTAACCACCTTGGCTGGACGTACACGCAGCTGAGATCTGTTTTACTGCTTTAAGGTTGTAAAGTTCCTATACTTCTGCCCCTGTCAGTTTGTTTCCTTAACACCACCAGGAGCTGATTGTGGTTCAATTGTATTACTTGATAACCCCAGTTTCTATGGTGGAGGAAATTGCACAACACACCATCCTTCTTAGGCAACCTCTAGGTTTCAACAGCCACAGAAGATATATAGGCCTTCAGCCATCAGTGTTTGGATGCAAAAGCACCTTAAGATTATTAGATAAAAAATGAAAGGATTAAAAACACTCATTAAAACAAACAAACAAACCAAAAAAACACCAGAAAAAAAAATCTTAGATAGCAGCAAAAACCAGCACTCTTCTGTACCTGATCAGGCTACTTTTTTGTTTCTGGCAAGGGATGTTCAAGATGATTTCAGTAATTTTCTCCCATCTCAATATCCATGATCCTACTATTTTCCCTTTAACAACATGAGTGAAAGGTGCTCTGATGCTGTTCAACAAACCAACACAGATACTGACTGCAGAATGAATACTCCTGATGCAAAAGTAAGTGAACTACAAAAGATCCTAAATATTAGACAGCTAAAGGACACCGTGCAAGAGCGCAGCACCAACAAAGATGACCATAAACACTGCTAACCAACAGGCAAGGTGAAAAAGTGAAGCCAATGGGCCTCTCATCCATTTCTTTTAAGTAGCTCACAAACTATTAAATACATAACCACCTTTTAAAACATACCAGTTTCTTTATTCTGGCACTTGGAATTCATATGTTTCTTTATTTTGGCACATGGAAGGAATGAGGTAAGGGTGACTGATGAAGTCTCTCAGCAACTTCAAATTCTGACCAGCGTTGATAGCACTGCAGACCACAACATCTGCAACATGAGCTATATCCCTGTGCATAGAAGCTTTTTGATGCAATATATCTCAGTTCTTGCAGAAGGATGACATGCTTGCAACACCAGGAAAATATTCTCTTCAAAAATAATTTTGTTCCTTTTAAAAAATTGTTGAATGCTGTCCTAATCATGTATCTATACATCTTTGTGCAAGATTGTGCTAACAAATAATAGTCACATTAACATGGGAAATATTAAACCCACAGGTTGAACATTTCTTTCCTTACACATTTTTTAATGAACTGCTGAAAAATTGTCTTCATTATGTGCTCATCTCTAATAGAAATAGAGCAGGAACCCCATGCATAATCACACACCCCCCATGAAGTAGCATAGGAGTCTATCATTCATTTAACATGATTTAGAAAAGAAAAACAGTATGCTACGTCAAGAGAGATAAATGGCTGCAGTTGCTTTCACAAAGAATACATTCTTGTCTTTACATACAGACTGCAAATAACTGTCATGATATTTAAAGGAACGAGAAAATTGTAATACCTTTACTATTAATCCCTTTGAGTCAACCATCCATATCCTTTTGATAGCTGCATTTTTAGATACCCCTTCTTTTTCCATAGCCATAACAATGAGGTTTGCTATCCCCAGTGCAGCCTAAAGGAAAGAGAAGAAAAGTAGCATATGAAACAAGAAGTGAAAGAAATCCCCTATTTGTTTCCTCTACCCACTATTTTAGACAAGTTTCTTCATTTTATTTAACAATAAAACTGAATCTTTATTTTTTCATAAAGTAAACACTAATGAACTATTGCTACCATTTGGTAATTAGAAACTCTAATGTAGACAAATAGTATAGATAAATCTTAAATCATATAGATAAATCACAGTACAGATAAACCTGAAGATGGCATTTACAGTATGAAGAGCACAATAAATGTTTAAACTCTAATGAAAAATGCTAAAACTAACATGTATTCCACATAATCAGAACACATGAACTATTTTTTCTTCTTTGAAAGTTTGTTCATTAGATTTTTTTGTGTGTGTGTAACTTAAACCAAAGAAAACATCACTCTGCATGCCAAAAAGTAAAATGCAGTCCTAAAAGATTTTTTTCTCTTATCTTTTCTCAAAATGTCCATCAAGAAGGTAAGTCTCCTTTTACCTACTATTCATGTGTTTTGTAACTCTAGACTTGGCTGTTCTCCCAGTGAAAGCAAGGGCGAGAAAAATTCACTTATCAATATTTTGCTGAAACATATATCATTCTTACTGGATTTTACAATATTTCATCCAACAGATTAAGTGTCATACAGGTACTGATTGAAAAATAGGCATCAAAATGAGCCAACAGACCTCTCAATATTTCTGATTACCAACTCGTACGCATATTTATGGGGTTGATTCTGTTTCTTGATCTTTACGATTCAGTTTCACTGAGAATCAAGTAAGATTCCCTTTTTTAAGAAATAGTAAGTTAAGAAATGAGTAGTTTTACTAGGAATGAGCTCCCACAACAGGGATGATATCTACCATTACCTCTTGGCAGCAACAGGCACACTGACAATACTAATGAAAAAAAATAAACATTAGGCCATGGATTCATCTCTCTGTTGAACATGGAGCAAAACTAGGGGAAGGAATTTCAGGGAGACGAACAGTCTTTATGTACAAAGGCGTTGACATGTCAGACATGGATGTGAGTTATTCTGAAAACTACAGACCTGATCTCAGTAGCACCAAATATTCAATCAAATTAAAGATATCTGGACTACACAAAGACGGATTAGTAAATTGCACCTATAGGAAGATTTGGTGACCATGACTAATATTTTTCAGAGGCTTGCATGGGCTTGTAGACTTCATACAAAAGATGACAGCTAGCCATACTGTAGATAAGTATAACCCTCACTTGTGTGTCAGTGGCTTAGAAATTTATACTGAAAAATTAGTATCAAAAAATAATGAGCCTAAAAATCTTCAGAAATGGATGATCTCAAGGTGCAGAATACTGCAAAACTACATTTTATGACAGGAAAAATCAAAGGTGCACTGCTTCTTAATAAATAACACTGACTTGGCTAAATACATTTTATTTCATTTCTCTTTGGTGGCCTGATATAATTCCTCATTTTTCAAAAAAATGGGGTTTTTTTGTTTATATTAGGAGCAGTTCAATAATTTATAGCTGAAGAGCTAAAATCTGGAGATCTAAAAAGAGAACAGACTCCACAAATGTCTTATGAGAAATATAAGGCTTAACCAGATGATCAGAGATTTTTCTATAAATTTACACTTGAATCAAACACCAACTTTCAGCCAGTGTCAGTGATCATTCTACCCATTTAATCTTCTTGTTAACTGGATACATATAACTTCATGAAATATCAAGAAAAATCTTCATAGCACAATTTTTACTGATGGATAAAAATACATACCTCTCCAGCTCCCTGGAACAACACTGTGTGATCTGATAATCTGTTCTTGGTGATACGCAGAGCTGCAAGAAGACCTGCAACAGCCACAGATGCAGTTCCTGAAATAAAAAAAATGAATATATTTGGTTATTCTGGAAATAATAACAAAGCATTATATTTTAAATAATTCCACAGCATCTTTCAGCTAAAAGATACAAGTACTTAGGGTAGTAATAAAAAGTTGAGTGGAACTGGAGTTTGCTCTACTTTCTTCTTATGAAATCTAAATTTAAGCAGGAATATCTTCAGAGTAACATTAAGGAAAATACAACTGATTAATTCTACTGGATGGGTATAATGGCTGGGGTGTTCGAACTATTACAAAATACTCTGGTTATGACCTATTCCAGAAGGAAAGGATGGGAGAGCCCAGACAGAAGTATTTCCAAGGACCCCAGATACAGAAAACAAAGATACTGATCTCATTCTTCAAATAGGTATACTTCAAACACAGTAAAATACGAGACTACAATAAAACCTTAGTTCTCATTGGGGGGTTATTAGAAGAGCAAGCAAAACATTCACAGAGAAGCTAAGCTAGCTGAAAGAGGAAAGCCAGCTTATTTAAGACACTGACTGCCCTACTGCATCTGAAAGCTCCCAGGACTCCAGTCTACTGCGAAAGGGGTTCCATCTCACTAGTGTCTAAAACATTGGAAGTACCTTTTCCATTTATCTTGGAGCTATGCCACGCAGGAAAAAAGGCTAATACTTAGTTTTATGATTTAGCCTGTGGAGGCCTTTCTTCTCCAAATCAGAACCACAAAGAATGAGATACCTGTCTATCTTTGAATGGAAAAATTTTGGTCCTCATCATGAGAAACACCTGTTAATAAAAAGTAAGGCAATAAAGGAATATCAAGCAGGGAGCTAACCCAAACCTGTTCACAATGGCAGGATCAATCCTGTCACAGACAGGATCTGTCTGTGATTTCTGACAGATCTTTGTCTAACTTATTCCTACATTTTCTTTCAAATACTGCTATGACCTTCTCGGCAAGCTATTCCAGTGCTTCAATATACTTTCTGTTGAAAATGTCAAATCTAAATGTTTCTTCTTCTCTTCTTCTATTTTGGCCTTGTCTTATCTACCACTGGAAAACCTATTCTTTTGTCTTTGCAACAAGATTATATTTGTATTATTGTGTATTATATTTGAAGACTAACAGTGTCCCAACCTGCTTTTCCTATGTGGAAAAATCTCAGTTCTTCCACTCTTTCAGAAAGCTATGTTTTCTAAAACACTTAGCACTCATTTCTTTCCTCTGGATTTTATTCACTTGTTTCTTATTTTTCTTGAATTGCAGCACCCAAATCTTTACACAACACTGCAGCTGAATTGTTAGCACTGCTGACTCCAGCTGTCAGCTTCTGTCATGCTGAAAAAAGTTGCATTCAGTCACCAGAACCTGATATCTGGCTCTTCTAATCCAAAGACCAGTTACACCTTCTGCTCAACAAAGACTACTGGAGGAGGAAGGCCTTCCTTCATGGATTACTGACTTCGGCTAACAAGCTTGTATTTTTCAAAAATGATCATTGTCACTAAAGCTCAGTCACAAGGTGGACCAAAAAAAGACAAGTCAGACTCATTATTCCTGCAAGGAACTTAGATCTATTAAATACCAGAAAAAAAAAAGAGAAAGTGCATCAGTTTTTAACAAGTTCACAGAACCCATAAAGACATCCCGTGGATAAGGATATGGTAGTGAGGTAGATGATACCAGCAGAAAAGTTGTGCTCAATGTGTCTTTTTAGAGGAGATTCCAAAGAACCAACAGCAGACAACATTGATTTAATCAGGACTGAAAAAGCCGTATCAGCCACTAACAATTAGGTATTGAAAGCGGAAAAATGGCTTTCAACAGTCTTTGAACATTTTATGATGCCTAAATCATTCACAGAGAGCTGAACCACAGGGAGACAAACACGGGCCTTGATATGTCCCCCTTGTTCAGTTCAGGGAATAAGAATCAAATTCCTCCTTCTCCAGGCAGTGCCTGCCACTGACCGACCCAAGGAAACTAAAGATGAAGCCATAAATGATTTTAAGAAGCCTGCAAGAATTTGCAAGGAGATCTGCTGGCTCCTACAATCCTGCTCCTGATCACCACAGCCCTAACCGCAATTGTCTACAGGTGACCTGGTTGCTTTTGAGGGGGGAATTCACATTGCTACTGATTTTTCCTTCAGAAAATGTGTGAAGTAGGTATGACCAGCCCTCTAAAAGCACTTGGCCTAGAATCTGCACATTGGACATTGCTCCTCAACGTGCAGCTGCCCTGAAGTATGTACTTCTGCTATTCACAAGTCCACTTCCTCATACACAAGTGAAGTTTAAAGCTGAGATAGCACTAATGTCTTCACCAAATTCCAGGAGATGCTCAGAACAGTTATTTATATTGCACGCACACAGACCATTAAGTTTCGAATACATGTGGCTAAGGAACTAAAAGAACAGAAGTAGTAAGAAGCTTGGTCCACGTAAACCTCTCCTAAAAAGACATCATTTGGGTGTTGAAGGCTGGATTTGAATCTGTGGTTTATATTTAGGATCATCGGAGTTTCATGAATGGTTACTTTCTCAAAAACAAACAGTAACCCTTAGTAAAATTTAAGAACACATTTTCAAGTTAGAAAGTCCTTTAGAAAGTCACTTTTTGAAGTAAATCCACCTGAAAAGTTCAAAAACATGTATCTTTAGAACAAAAAAGTTTGTTATGTGCTTTTGATTATGACTTTTCCCTTCAATCGTCAGAAATACAGGACATCTTGTTCTCAGCCGACTTAATGTTTAGACCATACAAACTTGTCATTTTTAGTTATTTAGTCATTTTTATGACTTGTTCTGAGAGCTGAGATCATTTACTCTCTTCTCCCTTATTTCTAAATAAAAAAAAATCTAAAAAATGGTTCCTCTGAGGCATAGCTTTGGGAATAACAACACTTCCACCCCACAGTATCCAAGAGCTACCTAGTTTCTTTCTCAGATGAAATTAAGTCTTCCTCTAGCGAGTGCCAAATTGGCAAAGACCAAAAATGGCAGAAGAGAGAAGTCAGACTGCACTCTCAGTTTCCCTTGGTACTCTACCAAACAATCCTCATAACCTCATAAAAAAATCCCATCCTCTCATTGGATGCCAAATGCTTTCTTCTATTTTATATTGCACAGCTGTGCCTGCAGGGGAGGAGGAGGAGGAAGCCTACATAACATGGCTTATTCCTAAAACCACCGATCTGGTCTCCTGAAAGTGAAACCTGAGCTGGAGCAACATAAGGTCCTGTTCCCAGCCCTCAAAGATAGAAGCTGTGGCCACTACAGCACCTTGCCCTTATCAGAGGACTTCTCAGAGAGCCGGGAAGGCTGCTCTTCAAGCCGCTTTCTGGTGGCAGAGGCAAAATGCAACACCATAAATTTATAACGAGTGGGAATGCTGGGATCCTGCTTATCTTCATCGCTGATGTATTGCTGCTAAGTTTGTTATCCAGAAAAATGGACTATGATTAAGTATTGCCAGTTGGGACACTTTTACAAACACTATTACAATACCATCTTCTGCTTTAAGGAAAAAGAAAAGAGATACGAAACATGAATAAAATACGACGTTGAATGTCAATAACATTTTGCATTGATTATTTACACGGGATGTGAGTTATCATTACCTGAAAGCTCATTATGAGGGTGATTCGGAATAAAGATTATATATAAATTTAGAGAGGCTTAAATATTGCATTTCTCACAAATGACGATTTGCACAGAACTGCTCTAACAATGGTATTTTAAAGGTACTCCACATTGGTTTTATTCAGCCATTTGACTCTTAAAAGCATAATGAGCCAGTTTATTAGATTACTGAACCCACTATCACTGCTGCTGGCAGTGGCTGTCATCACTCCTCGTCAGCAGCTTCCCTTATTCCTCCCCATTGACAGGGGGGCACCGGCAGCGTGAATAGCAGATCTGTTTAACCGGAACTGCTCTGACTAACGGCATGACCTTAAATTTCACCCTGAATACTGACTCGAGTTTTTGAAAAGAATCAAAATGCAATTCCCATCCAGCTGCCAAAGCCTAACCACTTCTCGTGGACGTCACGAAGCAGAAACAGAATCTCGCTGCCTTTTCCTACTGTCAGCGCTATAGGAAGGAGAGAAATGGCTTCGCCTTCTCCCACAGAGCACAGGTTAAACCCCTTGTGTGCAGAATAAGACAGACATTGTTCACGGATATGATTTTGAAAACTGATTCTATTTTCTCCAAATTTCTAGAAGAATAACCACACCAAGTTTAACACAGGATATTTTTCTAAAGCAGTGTCAGCTGCTGTGACAGGAAACACTTTGTTATAGTTTTCTAGGCAGGTAAGTCATATCTTGTAAAAATAGGGTAGATGTGAAATTTCAAATTACACCATTCTTTACCAAGCCTTTGTTTTCTGTCCAAGATTCTTTAGCCTTACTTGTTACTGTAAACTGTACGACTGAGCATGAATATGTCAAAGGAAATCCTAGAGACCACGGCCTTTTGGGGTTGGCACATTATAAATGCTTTGGAGCACAGAGTCTTCTTTCAGCCAATGCAACAATTAAAGAAAAAAGGGGGCATAAAAGCTCCAAAACATGAGGAATGACAACTTCATTTTTATTGGATATGGTTTAATTTAAATTAGTAAGAAATGGCTTACGTCACTGAAGCATTTGTCCATTATTTAAAGTTTTAAAAAACGAAACTTGTAATCAAGTATGATTTTTAATCACGTATATATATAATTAGCTTCTTTACGTCATTCTCCCTGCCTCATCATAAAAAGCTAGCAAACAAGAAGAGAGAAGGAATTTCTGCAGCACATCCTAAAATCTGAGCTATTCACTCTAGACTAAAAGATTAGGAAGTGGTAAAATTGGTATTTCTCAGTACACAGCATAATAGAAATCACATGTTAACATGGCCAGGCTTCCAAATAACATTGCATAGAGTGCCAGAAAAATAATAATCCCTCTCCTACACTCAGTGGGGAAAAAAAAGGTGTGAGTAAAGATCCTATCTAAAAGGTGTAAC